CCCGCCGGCTCGCGGCGGGTTTCTAGCTTCTCACTGCCGCTGGATCGCCTGCAGGGTAACCTCTCCCCCGGCCGCCCGTCGGGGCTTTTTCTTCCTTCTCCACACTTGCGTTTCCTCTGCACGCTCGGGGTGCCTCCGCCCGTCGTGTCTCGAGTCGCCCTGCTTCCTCGCCCTGAACGCCTTCTTTCGTTGGCTCGTTGAAAGAGTGCGTACGTCACGGGAAAAATGGCCCCGCGTGTGCGCGCGCGCTCTTGTTGTCATGGCTGAGTTTCCCTTCCCGCCTCGGTCTCTTACTCTTCAGCTTCAGGCTTTCAGAAATGACGGCAGCCCTGACGACCAAGGTGCTCGGAGGGCGGCATCCGCAAGGGATGAGAACGCTGTCTCTGGAGGGCCACTGTGATTTCCGCTTTCAGGTCATGGGGCTTGTGTGGTCTGCTTAAGAGCCGACCTTTCCTTCTAGAGGCTAGACTGCCCTCTTCTTCAGTCCTTCTGCCAGTTCTGGACTTTTACAAGCCGGTTATATGTCCTGTGGCCTCTCTGTGTTGCATGTGAGTCTTTTCCTTTTCTCTTCAAGGAAGAGAACTTTCCAGACTCCTCTAAGATGAAGTCTTAGCCACTAGCGCATGTGTCTCACCGGGGAGTTAGGCCGAGGGGGGTTTGCTTCCATGGGAATGTTTCTTGATTCTGATATTAAATGCCCACAATCTGGGGATTTATTCATACTTTGCTCTCCTTGATCAGGTGGAAAATCTTAAAGTGACTTTGTCTTGAAATTTTACCATGTTACTTTTAAACTTCCTGTTTTACTTCGGAGAAGATGTTTCAAGAAGCTTTAAGCACTTTGAACTGTTGTTTTCTGCACGGAATATATGATTGTTCCTTTTTAAATAATTACACCTGTTGAGAATTTTCTCTCAAGGAAAATACTGTAGTATTTTGGTAGTATTGTAGTCTGGTGTTGTCTTATACATGCTGCATGCTCGTAGACTACAGTGTTGATGAGCCGTCGAATCTTTGCTTTAATGTTTTAAATTGTTGAAAGCATTAATACAACACTGATGGAGTAATTTTAGATCTAGAATTTTAACTTGTGTAATACAGAAGCAACTGCAAATTTTCGACAAGTATAATTGAAAACAATATACTTGGAGTTATTCTTTCTGAAAATGATGTGTCTGCTGTCAGTCAGACAGAAAAGGCGTTTTGGGGCAAAGAGGAAATCTTAGTCTTCCTAACTGGCATCAGTGAAAGGCAGTGAGCCTTTACACAAACCGTGTGGTTCTTTAAATGCCAATAAAAATAGAGACAGGTCACTTCACATAGTTCATTCGGCTTTCTTTTCAATTTAACATTACTTGCTCACAGCTAGACTGTGTGAATGTATATGTTATCACCGTGCACCAGGCTTGACATTTAAGTAGTTTGGGACTGTCATGATTTGAAGAGTAACATAATTTAAGGAGCTATTATGTTAGCTTGCTTTTTCATACATGTATATCTATATCTATATAGATACACATGCACACATATTCACATGTAGCATGTATAGATGTGTATTATGCACGCATGTGTATATATAGGACATATTCGAAGGAAAGTTTTTCTTTTTTTTCCTTTTATATCTTTTGTTTTAGGTTCTTTGCTTTTACTCTTTTCTTTTGTGCATGAGTGTGTGTTTGGATATGTCTCTTACAGTATTTTTGAAGGTTCCATTAGCACTTTTACTTCATTACTTCTAGAATTTATTTTTCCCTTCCTTTTCCACCTCAGCCACCAGTGGTAAAAACAGAGATGGTAACAATTTCTGATGCCTCACAAAGGACAGAAATCTCCACCAAGGAAGTCCCCATTGTCCAAACTGAGACCAAAACCATCACATATGAGTCTCCACAGGTACAAATGCTCTGGATGTGGACTGTCTCATGTATTTCTTCACTTAGTATATCTGTTTTCACTCTTTCTTCTCTTAGTTTAATGTTGCTGGCTTCGATATAGCTTTTTATATCTCCATTTTATAACTATGCTATAGCAACCACATAACTTGCTGTGTTGGTGTCTTAGATTGAGGCAGAGTTGCAATCAAATTGGTAACCCAGTAATCACAGGGGCACCATGCATATGATTATTTAGGACAGTGTCACTCTTGTTCATATTATTGAAAGCCATTTCTGGCTTGATGTACCCAGGAATGTTGATGTACCCGTGGGACACAGGTCATCTTTGCAGATTTATTGGATCTGGTATAATGTGTGGATTAGTAGGATTTAGGCTTTCTTCCTCCTCTAACTGCATGAAAACAGACCCAATCTACTGCTGTGTGCTTGCAAGTCACACACACATGCACTCACAGCCTGTGCTTCTCTTTCATGTGAGATTCTTTTCTGAAGACATATATAGCCATTTGTATGTCAATTGTAATATGATGTGCCCAAATAGTTATCAGATTTGTGTGTTTGATTGTAGATTTTTACATTATGGTTCTGTAAAGATTTAAAATGAGCATTAGGATGTTTAATGTTAACAGTAGCAAAAACTAGGAAGGTATCATTTTAGAATGGAACCGTTTAAAAATATGTACAATAAATATGTTCTCCATCCATGGCGGAAGATGGCAGGTTATTACCCTCTCAAAATATTTTTAAAAGGTTTAAAGTGTGCCTGTGTGAAACATATTTGAAAATTATTTCAGGTATTCTCTCCCTGTATGTGCATAGATGCCACATAAAGCACAGGCAGGTTTCTTACGAATGGTTGTAGTGGGGTAGTGTTACTCATGTGTCTGTATTTTGGTAAGTACCATGATAAAGAAATACAGGTGCATGACCCAAGTTTGAGAGAGGTTTTCTCTTACAGTCAGAAAGCTCTGGACCTTCCTGTGATTTCCTTGTGTCAGTGTCAGGAAACAGAAGGCACATATATTTGGTGTTTGTAACCGTTAGACTATTAATGTGCTTCTTTATTTGCCCTGGTAAACTCTAGAACCTTCTCTCTCTCCTGGTATCAAAGCATACAAAACCTGTGTTAACGTAGACGTGGGACTTAATATGATATATAGAGAAAGCCCCCGCATACATGCAGTATTGAAATAAGGGTGCCCAATATATGCTCAGAACATACAAAATATTGTAGGAGCGATGTAGTTTTTAAAAAATCTTCTCGAGGTACGCAAATAACCACACCATGCAGGTTCAGTTTATCCTAGTCAGGTTCTGTTGCTTAGTAATTTGAGAAAAGGTTTATCTATTTTTACCCACCTGTGCTTCAAAAACAACAATTAACTCAGTGCTTCTGGTCACTGTGGAAATGTCTCTGCCTGGCTCTCCAGTATCTTTTTCTAGCTTTTGCAAATGTCTCTCAGACAAGTTCTGTCATTATTCCCTGATAGTTTTTGGTCCCAACTCCTACTTCCATTCTTTCTGTCTTTTCTCTGCTCACAGGGTTTGCTTCTCACGTGAATCTAGCCTTTGCCTCTATTCTTTTTAAAATGCCAGCCACTTTCCTGGACAGTAAGTGACTACTACAAACATGCAAAGGATGGGCAGATGGCATCTTCTGCCGACCACGTAGATTTTTCAAGGATGCATATTTGATGGGGGAGGGAGGGTATTCTCTGACAACATAATGGACGTTAAGCATTACTTTGTATTTTTCCCCCAACTATCCAAAGATTGATGGCGGGGCTGGTGGTGATTCGGGCACGTTACTGACCGCACAAACCATCACATCTGAGTCTGTGTCGACAACGACCACCACCCACATCACCAAGGTAAAGCAACCCAGGGGAGTCCAGTGGAGAGGCTAGTGCATTGTAAACAGAACTTTCTGAATTTTTTTCTCTGTTTGTACACACTTTCAAATAATATACAGACAGTGCCAGTGGAATAAAAATGCCTTGCTTTAAAGTATCCAAGAAATTAGACTTGATTGACAAATGCATTCAAACCAAATTGCAATTTTGTAAAGTACAAGGGGGTAAAAATATGTTATGGATAACTAAAGCTAGCAACAAGAACAGAGATAATTTAATAAAATAGGTTATTTATGAAAACAATCTGTGCTTCTGCTTATATTAAGCCAGACCTCCTGAGTGAAGCAAATGAATGGAGGCCATCATTCAAGATTTTTAACAAGTTGTCCAAATAACGTAAAATTTCCTTCATTTATTTTTATGTTGATTTGGGGCATTTTCCCACATCATTCTCTAAATGTTTAATACTAGATAACAGATAACCAGAGTGGTCCCGGGCATCAGCTTCACCTGAGGACTTGAGAGAACTGTAAATACCTGGGCCCCACTCCAGACCTCCCGAAACTCTGGGAGTGTTTTAAGAAGCTCCCAGTGATTTTGATGCCTGCAAAAGTCATCAAATTCCTAACTGCAGCCTTATTTTCCACGATTTCCTTCTGCTTCTACTTTTCAATTTTGATTAGTGCCCGAAGGTCTTAAAGGTATCCCTTGTGCCCTACCCACCTGTAAAATGAAAGGTGCCACAGAGATGCAGGCTGTTGGTGCTCATTGTAAGGCATATCCAGTTATGAAAGCTAGTGAGAAACCGTGTTTCTTATAGTAAAAAGCCACCACTTGTGACTGAATGTGTAGATGGATCAGAACTGTGAAGGCTGGTGTGTGCTTTCTCAGCACTGTGTGGTATTTGCTCATTGTCTGGTAGAAGGCCATAACCAGATGGTCTCCTCAGCCCTACTCGGTATACTCCAGGCACCCTTGGGGTTCATTGTGACCCTGTGAGGCATTTCACCCAAGAGCTCCTTCCCCAGGTCCCCCCACAGCCTTGGTTCAGCCGTGCTCCATGTCCACACGCACTGCCACGTGTGGCGCTGTTATCAAATCAAACATTTAATGAAAATCTCACCCATGCTCCACACCGTCATCCAAATTCATGTCCTTTTTAAAAATAATGCGCTAAACTAAATGAACAAAAGCACCAAATGAATTTGTGTGACCAGAATCAAGCAACCAAAATGATTACCCCTAACGATTTTGCAAACCTAAGAAAGATACCTAAATTGTTCGGTTTCATTGTAGCTCTACAAATACCAAAGAGTGATTTCTTCTTTCTACTCTCCTTTTCAAAAATTGGCCAATTGGGAGTGAAGTCATTTGGGAAATTGTAACAGAATGCCCCAGTGGAACTACTTGCAGTATCTGTCCCATCTTAATCTCACTTGACGCTTGATAAATTCGTTTTAGAGTTGCTTTCAGTTGAGGGATACTTGTGAATGCTATAGCTTTAACCATTGGATTCTCAACTGAGCTTAAAAATAAAACTTGGAATGTTTCAACAAACCAGCCTTCTGCCACTTAGTGCGTGTGGCTTTACGATGATCAGCAGGTCGAGGTGGGCTCCATTTCTCTTTGCTCTGATTGTGTAAACATGCTTTAGTGACTGCTGCTTTCTCTTCTTCTCCTTTTTGACCTCCAGACTGTAAAAGGTGGAATATCTGAAACAAGAATTGAGAAACGCATCGTGATCACAGGAGATGCAGATATTGATCATGACCAGGTAAAGAACTCAAAGTCTAGTTGTGAAAGTGACCATGTTTGTTTTCTAAGTTTTGCATCTGTTGCCATGTCATATTGCTATGTAAACCCCCTCTCCCAGGACCTCCTGGATGAAGTCCACATCCTAAGCAAGGGGTAAAGACACTTTACAACCTGGATACAACTTGACCTCCAGCTTTCCTATCCCTGAATCAGCATAAAACACAGATTTCTGTGTATTTCCCACTGGCTTTACATGCCCTTTTGGGGTCAAAATCCTCCAGCAACCGTTAGGAATTCCCATGGACCTGGTTTAGTGGCAAGTTATCACGTATTTTTAAATGAATGGCAGTTTAATGACACTGGCTTCCAAAAAATGAAAAAAGCCACCAAACTTGACTTATGCCTACTTTTAGGAACTTTTCAAGTATTATCATTTTTAATATATTAGGCAAAGTCGGGCTATTTACTACTAGGCGTTTTCTCCTAACTTTTACTATATTGAGGCGGAGAGGACGTCTCTCCTTACAAAGTGAAAATTGACATTGATTCTTTTTGAAAGGGTTCATGCTTTCATTTTAATGTTAAGTTTGGCAGCATGCATGGCTTTGAGCAGGTGATGAATGGAACTGCTGGAGCCTTTGAGAGCAGCTGTAATTTTTGACTGCAGTCTCAAGTGATGATGAGAATTTTTTTTTTCCTATGTGATTTTAACTCAGCTTTGAAGGAGACCAAGCTGTTTTCTTTTTATAACAACTTGGAGAAAAGAAAAAGAAATTGACCATCTCAGCTGGGGAGTGGGAGCTATTGATAATGACAGAGCTTTGAACACAATTCTGAACTCAGGAAAGAGAATTTTGGAGAATAACATTTCTTGCTTGAAACAGCTCCCCCCATATTTGAACCAAGGAGAAATGGATTTTCTTCATGCCTAAGATTATAAGCATGATTTTACTTACATATTCATAATGCATTTAAAAATATTTTTTGAGAGTTATTAGAGTTTAAAAGGTTGCCCCAACTCTTAGCCAGGCATGGTGACTCACACCTGTAATCCCAGCACTTTGGAAGACCGAGATGGGAGGATTGCTTGAACCTAGAGTTTGAGACCAGCTTAAGCAACGTAGTGAGACCTCGTCTCTTCAAAAATAAAAATATTTGTGGGCCGTGGTGGTGTGTGCCTGTAGTCCTAGCTACTTGGAGGCTGAGGAGGAAGGATTGCTTGGGCCCAGAAGTTCAAGGCTGTGTTGAGCCATGATCGTGCCACTGCAGCTCAAAAAAATAAGGTCGCACAACTCTGAATTTTGCCTTAGGACTGAAGATTCTTAGAAGAAAACTAGCACGCACTTACTTCTGTCTACTTACTACAGAAAGTGAATTACCTATGTGGAAACCGTGTCTTTGGTTTCCCAGAGAGGATTTATTCTACTTTTCCACTGAGATAGTCTTGAGTTCCCTTGGCCTGGAGTTGGAGCAAACCTAATTCTTATTCCTCTTCTCTGGGACTCTTGCTCAGTAAGCATTTGTTGAATTCCTGTCGTGTATGAGGCAGAAGCCTCATTCTTAGCATGGCGCTACATGCAAACTGGGGTGTTTTCCCAGCCATCATTTTTTCTCTCTTCTCTTCCCACTAAACCTAGGCCCTTTGAAGCTTTACAAAGCCATCTTTCCAGCAGTTTTTAACTTATGTGTATTCTTTTGCCTTTTGGCCTGTTTTACCAGAAAATTCAAATATAGCTAGTACTGCTTCTGAAAGGCAGATAATAAAGACACAGTGTTATAAGTATCAAACTAACACATATACCTAACTCAAAAAATGATGACGCTACAGCTTTCACTGCTGTTGCTGCTAGGTCACGCATCTCTTTTGCATGATGTCATATGTCAGCCTTTTAAAAACTGAGATTGGATGTCCAAAGGCAGAGAATAGAGGCTTCACTTTTTCATGTTGAATTGTGAGGTGGCAGAAATAGTTTTGGATAGATTTATTTAATTGTGGCTTGCCACCAGAAACTCATGATGGGTTCGCTTCTCCTTAAAGCCTGTGATGAGGTGATGGAACTATTTAAAATTACATGAAGAAATCGCTTTCTTGTCAAAAAACTGATGTTGATCATGTAGTGATGTTAATATCCTTGACACTTTGAAAAAATTCCTTGCTTACATTAAAAGGATCTTAATAATGAGAGGAAGCCTCATTTTTCTGAGCAAGGCAGAAAAAAAGCAATCTCTGTTGTGCTGGCAAATTACAGAAGCATGCTTTTACAAAACTTGCTATGTAGTTTCTTTACCTGTCTCAGCTCTGTCCCAGGGAGAGATAAACTGCACCATATGTGCTCGTGAGAGCGTAGTTCTTCCTAATAATTTCTCAATTTGGCAGTATGATGTGGTAGTCTTCTCACAATCCTTATTGTTGCCATCATAAATTAACATTTTACAGTGTTGAATTTCATGTGCTGATGTTATGGCATAAAAGGTGTGATAACAAACTGATTTCAAATGTGTTTGAGGATGATTAGAGTAATTTTTGCTTTCCCTGCTTTTCTGTTAGAGTGTTTTTACATGTTACCTTCCTTAGACATCATCTGTGCTTTCTCTTTAACAGTCACCCTGGTTTATTGTCGGCAGATCTTTGTAGTGAACATGAACTTAAAGTAGCCGATCATTTGTCTACAGCTGCATGTGGCTCCCATTAGAGCCCGTCCTTGGTGTTTCCCAGTGTGGATTCCACAAACCAGCATATACTAAAGAGATTATCATTCCAGTCTCCTTCCCTCTGAACACGCAGGAAAAAAAAGAAACGGAGAACCGTGCTCCTAGCCTTCCTCTCCCTTCTCCATTCCCGTCCCAGCCAATACACTGACGAGCTCCTCCCCCTTCTCCGGCACTGCCCTCTTGCCCCAGCAGCCACTCTCCCCCTCGACACACTCCTGTGCTCCGCTGGGAGTGGAGGCTGGCTCCACAGCTGATCGGTCTTGACCTGACAGGTGGCTCACCAGAGGTGGTTTCCTGGTGGAAACTTAACCAGAGGTGGTTTCCTGGTGGGGAATGGCTTAGGGTTTAAGCACCCTCAAGTGTCTCCCAGCCTTCTGTGCAAAAAATTTGGGGTGTCAAAACGATGCCTCCCTCCCTCCCTCTCTTTTTTGTGGCTTTACCTGTTTCGTTATGGCTGAGGCTCAGGGTTCTTCTCGGTAACCTTACAGCTGACAGAAAGTATCACACAAGCAGGAAATGCAGTTGTCCCCTTAGGCAGGTGATAGAGCAAGAGAAAAAATTGCACTCCTCTTTTCAAATGCATAGTTTAAGTATGAGACATGGTAGTCTTTAGCCTAGTAGGATTTTTTTGTTGTTGTTGTTTTAAAATTCTTTCTTAGACTTTGAGTGTTCACCTATGGTGTTTTGTTTTCTCTTGCTTTCTCCCCAAAACTTAAAAACAAATGAACAATATTAATAAGAGTATCTTTCCCCTGCCACAATGCTTTTACACAGTTTGCTTTCTAATAAATAAGAAGGGCTCAGCTTTCTCACCTCCTGGTCCAGGGAAGGGACCGTGACCCACTGGAGGCAGCACTGGGCCCTCCTCCTGCCCTGCCACTCGCAGGCTGGGTGGCCTCGGGAAGGACCCGTTAACCTGTGAGCCTTCAGTGGTTCCGACTGGACAGTAGGGACCTGTATTTTATAATTTACAGAATCGTCTATCTCTATTCTTTAACTTTGCAGATTGTGTGTTGTTGCTGCTGCTCTTTTATTTCTGTGCCCTAGAAATGTATAGATATATTTTCTGTAGTAGTTTAGTTCAGCAAACATAGTTTGAACAATGACTGAGAACCGAAGGGGACAGAGGTGAACAAGGCTTGGTCCTAGGTTTGCAGGCTCAGGCAGTTGGGTGATAGCTGGTATCTCTTGAGTGTCTGGATCCGACACTGTGCCGGCCACTTTGCATCATTGCTTCAGTTCCTACAGCAGGCTTTCAGAGGGTCCTTGTACAACTGCAGCATCAGTCTCAGGTTACAGGTAGGATTGCTGAGCCTCCCAGAGCTGGAGACCATCATCCTAAGTGAATTGACTCAGAAACAGAAGAACAAACGCCGCATATTTTCACTTACATGCCGGAACTAAATGGCCACAGAGGTGGAAATAATAGACACTGGGGACACCAGTAGGGGGTGGGGAATGGCTTAGGGTTCAGAAATTACCTGTGGGGTACATGTTCAGTATCTGAGGAACGGGCCACTTGAGACCCAGTCCCCAGCACTACACAATATGTCCATGTAATAAACATGCATGTGTACCCCCAAATCTAAAATTAAATGAAAAAGAAAAATAAAGTTTTATTGGAACATTAAAAAAGAATGCTAAGCCTCAGAAAACTTCTGCCAAATCTTACAGTGATTGTAAGCCCAGGATTCAAAGCCAAAGTGTTTCCTCTCTGTGTCGTTTATTTGAAAGTGGACTGGAGCAATGGGAAGTCCAGGAAAATGAGAAGCACTGTCTCAAATGAGCAGCGAGCCCATCCTTCAAATCTGAGCCGGGCTCGGTGGCTCAGCCTGTCATCCCGCGCCTTTGGGAGGCTGAGGTGAGTGGATTGCCTGAGCCCGCGGGTTCGAGACCCGCCTGGGCAGGCAAGACCTCATCTCTACAATAAATCAAAAAAATCAGCCGGGCGTGGTGGTGCGTGCCTGTAGTTCCGGCTACTCGGAAGGCCGAGGCGGAAGGATCGCCGGAGCCGGGCAGGTCGAGGCTGCGGTGGCCGGGAGCGGCCGCTGCACTCCAGGCTGGGCGACGGAGTGAGACTCCAACTCAAAAAAACAAAAAAAACAAAAACAAATCTGCTGCCTCAAATAAAGACGCAAGAGCCTTGGGCTTGGGGCCGCGTTCCCGGTGGTCAGTGTCACGCCTTTGGCCACCCGAAGTGGCGCCATTCCTCGGCTCACGGTGGTTCTCTCTCCCCACCCTGGCAGGCGCTGGCCCAGGCGATCAGGGAAGCCAGAGAGCAGCACCCTGACATGTCGGTCACGAGAGTGGTGGTGCACAAAGAGACAGAGCTGGCGGAGGAAGGGGAAGAGTAAGGAAGGTAAGAGAGCCGGCGTCGTCCCGGCCTTGCGCGACTGCTCTTTGCTCCTGGGCCCGGGGAGGGACGTGAAATGCAAGTTCACTTCGTTTCCCTGTTTCCCGGAGAGCCTGTGATTTGTCGATTATTATCCGCAAGTGCATCTGCCCAGGGACGTGTGTGTAAGGTAAACGAAACCAGGCCAGGCGAAATGGCAGCAAAGGAGCCAAGAAAAATGTGTTAGCGCGATCCCGGGCGAGGTTCTCGGTCCTATGGCTGTGGCCGGAGAAGTCGCGCCCAGCGAGAGGGGCGACAGGTTCATGAAGGGCACGCTGAGAAGCTGAGAGGGGCATCGGGAAGAGCGATTATCGGCTGGGACGGCTGTCGCGGGAACGGGCTGGCTCGAATCGCCGTCGCAGGTGCTGGCCGGTCCTGTGGCTGGGCTCTGAGTTCCGGTGGCTCGTTTTTGCTGGCTCGCTTCCGCCCATTACTCTCCTGGTCCGGGTTGGAGCCGTCTTGTTGAGGCCCACCCCACCTCCGGTACCTCCGGCCTTACAGTGTAGTCGTAAACTCTGCGGACCAGAAGGCGTGTGGTGTCAGGCACTACAATTCATCGTGAGGCTGCGACGGTGAGCATTTTATGTTGTTTTACTATTTATCGAGCACACGAGCGTAAGTCATATGAGTGTCCACAATGGCCCTTTAGGAAGGCACAGCTACCCTCATTTAGGTGAGAGATTTTTACTGTAGGAGGTTAAGGGGGAGATGAGTTAAAACCTTTAAGTGTAGACATTAAGAATTGTATGTCAAAAAGATTTTTTAAATAATAAAAAAGAATTATATATCAGAGAATGAACCAGAAAGGACAAGATTCCTTTGGCTATATAGATATTTAAAACTTTAGTAGGCCAACAAAAACATAAGCAAAGGGTAAGTGTTAAATGGCAGAGAAAGGATTTAGTATCCTGAATATATTAAGAAAATTTAAACACTTTAGTAGAAAAATAGGCAGAGAATTAACCGAGTAAACTGCCTAGAAACTCAGAACAATACAAAATGTCTAGCCTTACTGTTACCAAAATCATTACAAACTAAAAATTCAGAGAACAAGTTTTCACCTATAAACTTAGCAAAATTTATGTCTTTAACGGTGTTGGGAAGGTGGTGGTTGGAAAGTCTACTCATACACTTCTGTATAAATTAGTGATATTTCCTGGAGGGTAGTTTGGCAAAATATATCATTAAAAATCTACATTAAGCATTTATTTTAAGAATTTATTTTAAACTACTTTAAGAATTTATTTTAAACAATCAGAGATGTATAAAAACATTTACTTATAAGGATGTTTATCGCATTTTTATATATACTAGCAAAAATTTTAAAGCAATTTAAATGGCCAACCATAAGGAATTAGTTAATACATTATGTTGATTCATGGGATGACTAACTAAAGAATTCTTAATGAAATGAGTAAGTGCTCATGATTATTGATTAGTGCTTTATAAAGCGAATTTTATCACACAACACACATATAAGATTACTTCTTTGTTTTTTAATAATCTGTGCCCTGACCGTCATCCGTTATTAGAGACAGTGCCCACAGAAGTGCCTGAGTGACAGGATACCTTGCACAGAACGGGATCATGCCCCTTCATCCATGGGAAGTGAGGGTTCCTGCCTTTCCACAGTGACTTTTAAATTTTTGCCAATCTAGTGGATGTGAAATGCTATATAACTGATTGTGATTTCCATTCCTTCGTTAATATCTTTTCATATGATTATTAGCCATTCATGTGTCCTCTTCTATGAAAACACAAATGGCTAGAAAATTGGAAACATTTATTTGAAATGCTTGTTCACCTCTCTTGCCTGCTTTCTCTTTCTCTCATTCTTAATGATTCTTAATAGATTCTGGATACCAGTCCTTTTTCGATTTTGTTTTGCTGATACCTTTAGGTTTGTGGCTTGTCTTTCACTATTAAAATACTTGAATATAGTAAATATTGTTGAATTTATCAAGCTTTTCCTTTATGACTTATGCTCTTTTCGTGCCCTGAGGTGGTAAAGATATTTTCCATGTAGAAATGTTAACATTTCTTTTCATATATTCGTTGTTGATCTATCTGAAATTTCCTCTTCTGTGTGATGAGCAGCTGTGATGCATTTGTTTCCTGCGTGAGTAGCCAGCATTCCAGCATGCTTACTGAAGAGCCTCCCCACCTTTCCCCCTCATCTTCAAGTCCTGTGTCAGGTTTCATATCTGTGTTTGTGCATGCCTGGCACTCGATTTCCTTCAGTGCATGTGTTTATCCCTGCTCCAGTGCCAGAGTGTCTTCACTTCTGTAGCTTTATCTAATGGGTTTTGTTATCTGGTAAGGCGAGTCTCCCCCAGTTGTGTTCTTTGTTTTTATTCTTGCCTTTTCATATTTCCTATAAATTTCAGAATCAGGTTGCTGGGTTCTTAGATTCAATCCTGTGGTATTTTAATTGGAATTGCACCTACGTTATAGTTCAGTATGGGGAGAATTACATCTTTATGACATTGTCTTATTTTCCCTGAACATAAAATGTCTCCATTTATATGTCTTCTTTAATGTCTTTCATTAAAATTATATAATTTTTGAAGCAAATAAGGTCTTATAAGTCTTTTCTAGCTGTCACTAATGTGACAAGAGACAATTAACTTTCCTATATTGATTTTATATCTAGCAACCTGACTATACATTTTAGATTCAGTTTTTAAAACAGGGTATATAATAGGCCTGTAAGTAGAAATCATTAAAAATTTTAGCAAAAACAAAATACGCAGTGGCCTGAGTATGTGCTATGTTATGTGAATGTTGATCTTTTTATTTTTGAGATGTAGTTCCCTGATGGTCTTATATAGAGAAGGCTGAAGACTTTCTTACCTAGGAGTCAGAAGACTCAGTTCTGTGTTTTAATCTTGCCACATTTCAAACTCTATTGACCTTGGACAAGTCAGTGGAGGTACAATCTACTTTTCCTAGCTCATAGGGTTTATTGTAAGTATCTAATAAGATAATAAGTGGAAAATTGAGCATTATACAAATATAAGATAACACCAGGTATTTTTTTTCTAAATTTTGTGAACCAATCATTTCTTAATCAGGAGCATCAGATAAAAATTACTGACCACTGTAAGCATTACTGACATCCTCACCTTCACTTATGTCATTTTGATAATTTTTAAATTTTATTAGTTTTATCAGTAATTCCTGTCATCTTATATTTATGTTTGCAATGGATGCGCACGCACGCACACATACACACACACACAGCTTTTGAAGTTTGTCTCAGAGCCTAACTTTTATGAGCAGCCTTGTTAAACAGATTTAGGAAGCTAAACTTGTGTATAGTTATATATATATATATATGTGGGGGGAGAGAGAGAGAGAGAGAGAGAGAGAGAGAGAGAGAAAGGGAAAGAGAGCGCACAAACTAGTTAAATTTGGAAGGATCCATTCATCCTTTCAAAAGTGTGTAACGAGTGCCCCAGTGTGCTGGGAGGGCCGGGCATTGACGAGTCAGTGATAGACAAAGCATCTGTGATGCCCTTCCTTGGGGGAGAATGTGTTCTGGGAAGGGAAGTGTGAATATTAATTTTAAAATGTAATTGGCCAGGCTCAGTTGCTCAGCCTGTCATCCCAGCACTTTGGGAGGCTGAGACGTATGGATTGCCTGAGCCCGTGGGTTCGAGACCAACCTGGGCAACTTGGCGAGACCTTGTCTGTACAATAAATAAAAAACTTAGCCAGGTGAGGTAGCGCGTGCCTGTAGGTCTGGAAGACTACAGGAAGACTGAGGCGGAAGGATCACCGGAGCCCAGCAGGTTGACACTGGAGTGGCCGTGAGCATGCCACTGCACTCCAACCTGGGTGACAGAGTGAGACTCCGACTCAAAAAAAAAATGTAATTGCAAATTTGACATGCACTCTGGAGGAAATAAAGTGCCGTGGGAAAACAAAAGAGGAGACTTGAACATCGTAGTTTAGCCTGCTGTTTGAGAAACAAAGTTTGAGGTTGAAATCTGAAGGACTGAATAGGAATTACCTGAGTGTCTCAAAGTCGTTTCAGCATCTCCACCCCCACTGGCCATAGCTCGCTCTTTAAAAATGTCCTTTGCTGGTGACTTTCAGAGCTGGGAGGAGTGTGTTTCTACTGCTCCAGCTCTGCTCTTGCCGCCTTGCCGGGATCCCACAGAGGCAGCAGGTAGGCCAAGGCAAAGAGCAGACCCAGCACGATACCTGGACATCAGGAAAGAAGAGTGAGCCTATGCTCCCTTTTTCAGGCACGTGAAGCTCTGCTCCTGCCCTGATCTCGCCCTTTGGAGTAGCTCTGAGCTTTTGATCACACACTGAAGAGGGGGAGACGGAGAGCAAACAGAAAGGTGGTCAAAGAACCAGCTGCAGAGGGTGAACCTCCCAAGTCCACCTGCTCAGCTGGCGGCGGCCAGCTGTGAGGCAGAGAGGAGCTGCATGCAAACTTGTTAAAGAGAAAACACACTTCAGATGAGGACTTCACTAAACCTTTGTAGCGCTTCTGTGTCCTTTCAAGGACTGTCCCTCCTGCCAGTTTATCCCAAGTGCGTGCTGATGAGCGTTCAAATGGACACACAGTATGGCCGACTCACTGCTGGAATGGTGTCCCTCACAGTCCCAGTCCGGAGGGAGAAGGGCTTCAGACTTGGTGGCGTGGCCTGTGTGGCCTCAGAAAGAATGAGCCACAGAAGGAGGGAGCTCTCCCAGGCCTCACATGAACTTCTCTGACTCCTAGAGTAATCATTCATGCCGGACAAAAAAGTGAATGAGGCCAGGCGTAGTGGCTCACACCTGTAATCTTAGCACTTTCGGAGGCCAGGAGTTCGAGACCGGCCTTAGCAACATAGTAAGACCTCATCTCTATAAAAAAGAAAAATTAAAAAAAAAAGTTAACTGGGCATGGTGGTGTGCACCTGTAGTCCTGGTTACTTGGGAGGCTAAGGCAGGAGGATCCC